CATAGAAACTTAACTGAGTGTATCATTTTGACACATTGGTCTAAATTTTAACGCTATTTGCAATGTTATTAATGCCTCAGATTAAAATCCTGTTTCATATGTATATAATATTTACAAATGAAATTCAATGCAAAGCACAACAAATATAAAGATTTAGGTTACGTAAGTGTGTTAGTTCTCTACCGCTGCTATTGCAGAAAGACCACAGGGGTGGTGGCTTTAACAAACAGAAATTGATTTCTCACCGTTTAGGAGGGTAACCTTCCAAAATCAAGTTCTGGCTCTCAGGGATGGTTTTCTCTCTTGGCTCTGAAGGAAAGTCCTTGTCTTTTCGGAGCTTCTGCTCTTGGGTGATCTTTATGTGCCTTGGCATCTCTCTTCCTCATCTACTTCTTGCATGATGATTTAAGCTCTGTGGTTACGAATCAGGCTGTGAACCACAAGGTCAGCAGTTCGAAACTACCAGCTGTTCCGCGAGAGAAAGATGAGGCTTTCTGCTCCCGTAAGGATTTACAGCCTCGGAAACCCTGGGCAGGGTCGCTATGAGTCGGTTTAGATTTCATGGCACATAACCATCACCACCGTATCTCAAAGAAAAGATTGAAGTTGTCAAGGACTCCATTCTTCTTGGATCAACTATCAACACTCACGGAAGCAGCAGTCAAGAAATCAAACAACGTATTGCATTAGGCAAATCTGCTGCAGAAGACCTTTTTAAGGTGTTGAGGAGCAAAGATGTCAGCTTGAGGACTAAGGTGCGCCTGACCCAAGCCATGGTATTTTCAGTAACCTCATATACATACGAAAGCCGGACAGTGAATAAGGAAGACGGTAGAAGAATTGATGCTTTTGAGTTACGGTGTTGGAGGAGAATATTGAAAGTGCCATGGGCTGCCAAAAGAACCAATAGATCCGTTTTGGAAGAAGTGCAGCCAGTGTGCTCCTTGGAGGCCAAGATGGCCAAGCTTCGTCTCTCATACTTTGGACATACTGTTAGGCGCGACCACGCACTGGAGAAAGGATATCATGTTTAGTCAGAGAAAAAGAGGAAGACCCCCAACGAGATGGATTGTCCAAGTGGCAGCATCAATGGACTCAAGTGTAGCAACAGTAGTGAGGTTGGCCCAGGATCAGGCAGTGTTTTGTTCTGCTGTGCATAAGATCGCTATGGGTCGGTACTGACTCTATGGCACCTAACAACAACAACAACACCAATATCTCAAAGGAGGAGTCCTGGTGTGTCGCCATACTGCAAAACCATTTGAACTGCAAGGTC